GTGCAAGTGTTTTTAAATTGGGAAAGTTACAACATCTGAATTATTTACAAGCAAATCTAAAATAACTGCCATACTTTTATTAGAAGCAATTGTCCAAATCCAGCACCTCGACTAGTCCGTTTGCTCTGAGAGCGAGAGGTGCTGGAACAGACAGGAGAGGTTTCGATCTTTCACTGTCCTTGTTCTGCTCTGCTCTTCCAGTCTATGGGAAAAAAAAAAAACTCCTCTGAGATAACAAACAGTGCTAGTTATCAGGATGAATATCTCAGCCTAATATGCTACAGTAAGTTGTGGAGTTTGCGACTTTTATTACAATACTATTTTATTAACACTTAAGCTGCTAGGCTACTCTAGCTGCAATATTAAGGCTTTGGCCAGCATCATTTATTGACTGTCAGAGCCCAATACCAGTAAACTGGTCTGCTTTTTAAGCAGTGTAAACACTGTTTACAGCTGTCTGAATGCATAAACCAGTAAAGCAGCATTTAATGTGGTCTTGGCAAGGTTTCACTCAAAATTCATTTTACAAAGAAGACGGTAATCATGGCTGTGATTTCTGTTAGGCTCTTACAGAATATAAATTGTCAAACTGTCTTTTCACAAGTACAGGTTTTGTTCCCTCTACCCCAAGTAGTATGGTTCCATCAACCCAGCAAATTAATCTTGTCTAGTTTTGTCTTCCGAAGAAATGCAGTAACAAATTAGATTGCTTCAACATACTGTTTTAAATGTATTCACCAGTTCAAATTAGGAGATGGATTTCGTATTGTATTCACATGAGTGGCTTTGGTTTTGTTAGTATCTACATAGCAGCATAGGTATGCAAAGTTCCTTGCAGATGAGAAAAAGCATGTTGCTTACTTACATGTAACATAACTGAGCTTCACTGAATGCAATAATTTTGATTTTAAGCTCACATGTTTAGGTGAGTGTGGAGACTCCAGTAAAATTACTTCTTTTTTTTGACAGATTCTCGCTTTTGACACTTTATGGCTATGTCCTTTCTTAGGCTCAGAACTTTATGTACATTTGGAAAATCTACAGTGCCAGATTTCCATACAAGATAATTCATTTTAAGTACCCTATTCTCCAAAGTGGGGTACATGTCTTAAAAGCAATCGCATCTTTTGAGGTACTAATTGATTTTAGGGTTCAGTTCTGGTTTCAAAACAATGTAGGGATATGGTTTTAGTATCAGGAATAGTTTTCCTAGAAGTGATTTTTATTGTTTTGTGAAGTATAAATGTATTTCCAGCCCAAACAACAGCACTGCATTTGTAATGAATCAATGCCTAAAACCCAGAGCATTGCCACTCTGGAAATGGCAGCCTGGCGAGGTAGTGCGCCTGAGACTAGGAACAGAGTTTTTTCTCTGTGGTACACGGGGACTGGAAACCTACAGCAGTAGCTTACTCAAATGCTGGGGGAAAAAAGGGGAGCTGAAGTGCGGTGATCACTCAGAGGAAATTCAGTTTTGTCCAAGAAGAAAGGTGACGGTTCAGAAATACCATGTCCCATTCTGCGCTGCTTCCGACAGCTTCTCTGGCTGCCTCGCAGCTCCCAGATTAGCTGGGATTCAGACTAGCATTTTGATGGAAACTCCATGTTTCACCCACACCACCTGGGGGGTAGTTTGGGGTCTGGCTCAGCTCTGGATTTCTCTGTGGGGCCCCAGGGAGGGAAACAGTGGCGATACCATGGGCTGACTGAAGCTTGAGGTTTGCATATGGAAAAAGCATGATCAGCCAAGTACATTTTAGTGTGCAAATATTTTTTTCTGGGTAAATTGTCATCCCTCTTAACGATTGCTTGCACAGAAGTTGTTTATACCTTCCATTGCCTTCGCTGCCTTCCTCTCTCTACATTTTCTCACTCGCTGCATGCTTTTTGAAGCAAGTGACCAGATGGTCAGAGCTTATGTTATTCTAAGGACATAACAGGGGTACATCAGAAGAATTAGTACCTATGTTCTAGATATGGCCAACAGCAAATCAACTGTAATTAGTACAAAGGCTGCTACTGTAGGGTCTCTTTGTCGTGGCACTGTGCTTTGTCATCACTCCTGTCTGCCAGTTTGAAGAAGAAGGATGAGCTCAGGACTGGCATGAGGCCATCCAGAGCAAAGCTTCATTTTAGCTCCCCGTATTGCCCGTCCGGGAGGTGCGCCAGCAGATCCAGAGCCGGTTCTCTGGAAGCCTCGTGAGGTGGAGATCTAGAGGCTGTGAGATCTAGAGGTCAGAGTCTTTGAGGCTTTGCATCTTCTAAGCAGAAACTGTTCGTTTCGACGCAAATCAGCGTAACTGCTGAGTTCCCTGAGTTTGCACAGGCCAGCCCCACCTGACAGTTTGGGCAAAGGGATGAAGAAAAATTTATCTGCAGGCTTTTATCTTCCTCTGAGTGTTGTATCAAAGTGCCTTCGCTAGTGCACAAGTAAGTATCCTTCATAAAAACAGAGCTTTGCATGACAATTATGTAATAGTTTTTGTTTGCTTTCCTAATTGGAGAACATTTTGAAAGAGCAATAAAACACAATTTGTTCCCTCTTTCCAAAACGAAACATCTCCTTTTGGAAAGAAGGAGGGAGTAAATTTACATTATAATGAGCAAATTGTTATGAGCGCGTAGATCAGTGTTGACATAAAGGGTGACGGAAATGAGATGTTCTCATTTTGTGCGTTCCCCTCCCCTTTCGCTCCCTCCCGCACGCGTTTGCCTGTGCATCCTGCTGCTACCGAGCAAGGAGGTGGCTGTGCTCATAGTCAACGATAGTAACACATCATAACTCAGCTAACAAAAATTCATATGAAAGGAATCATTCTTCACCAGGGCTGCCTCATACCCCTAAAGCCTTTCCCCAGGATGTACTAGCGATGAAGGCACGTGCACTTCACTACTGCACCTCCTAGCTAGCTGGTTTTTATTGTCCCTTCCTATTTTCTTATTGGTTTTGTCATTTCCCGATACCGTCACGGAATATTGGCACAGACTGAACAGATGAGAGTGCTATTGTTTTGCTTCAGGCATATGACTTATCTAGCAAAGAGTTTGGCAAAACGCAGTGTTGGGGTCTGCTCCTGCCCTGCTGCCAAACTGGGGGGGTGAATTAGCCATTGAAGCTGTTGTCTGTTTTCACTCTGTCCTGCCCTTACTTTCTGGAAGTGAACTGCAGTTGTCCAAATCTTTTCTCCTTTCCGTCCCTCTCTCTTTGTCACCAGTGGGTTTGTTACTGGTTTTGAGAAGCTGAAAGTGACATTAACCCCCTGCCCAGCTGTTGCGGTGTCAGGGCTCCAGGCAAAATGGCATTTGTTTGGCTCTCAGAGAAGTCATCCCAGCGATTGCCTGGAGAGTCTGGCTGCAAGTGAAATCCATATGCAATGCTTCTGTCAGCAAAGACTTGCTGGAAGAGAGTTTATAATAAATATTCACATCTGCTGCTTTGGACACTCTAATCCATCCTACAGATCTTTGCTGTGTCAGGCTTTGTTCTAGAAGAAGCAGCCGGGTAGTTACAAAGGTTTGCAAATAGGGCATATTTATCATGGTTAGCTCTACTTTCTAGTTCCCTTTCTTGCACAAATATCCATGACCACGCTAAGCATAAGTTGTGATTAAATATTGTCAATGCATTTGTAAGGTGTTTCAGACTATGTGTTTCCTGTAATAAATGGAGAAAATGGCAGTTGTTTGCTTCCCGGGCTGTCAAATGAAGCCATCGGATCTCGATGAGCAGAGCGGAGAACATCATCGTTATGAATTAGTTTGAATGGAGGGACAATATATTCCCTGGATAACACATCCAGGTTTTAATGTTAATGTTTAACATTAACACATTTTAATGTTACACATGACGTAGGCACACCCAAGGCCCTGTGGCTTGCATACTATTAAAACTGGGACAGATTCCCCCATACTAACTTCTGTTGGGCAATACGTTCCCGTTGGCTTCTTGGCAAATAACCTGTATGCCTAAAAACAGCAAAATATCAACTGTTTTTCATAATCTTCCCCAAAATGATGACCTTGGTGCCAGATTGACTTTGTCAGTGTCAATATTAATTATTCCTCTGCTGGCGATGTCTTTGCTTTCAGAGAGAAAATCCTGATACATAAAAAGAGCTGTAATCATTTGGAGGGTATATTGAACTTGCTTCTAACAGAACAAGGTGTTTGACCAAGATCATGACTGGCAGTACAATGATCCCGTTGTTGGGAGGACCACATCAGCTTTGAAATGAACGTATTGATCCTCTTTTTTTTTTTTTTTTTTTTCCTTTCGTACGTGAAACTCATGATTATTATAGTTAATTTCTAAAAGGAGAGAGTCTTTATCTGGTGGCTGGATAAGTAAAAGGTGCTTCAAACGTATCACTTACCAGCTGTTTCCTCTGCTTTTATTTAAGCAGGAAGGTAATAAACTTATAAACACATTCTGCCTCCTTGAGAGTGATGAAAACTGAGTCCGTTTAGTTCATAAATAAACACATGGAAACCGGGAACTCCTTTTTCTACTGTTAGACCCAATTCTATACTAACAATTTCATTGTGGTTGTTTTTTTCCATAAGGATATAAGGGAGCAAGGCACTCAGTTCAGTCAGATGCCTGACCTCCCTGAAATTCAGTTGAAAATCTGCGTCTTCGTTTCTTACAGCGCTGTACAAGCAAAGCAGCGTTAAGAACGTGGTCTGATGCTGATACCTCCAGGTATCAGAAGAGCATCTGCTTCTCCGGTGCTCAGTCTGTGTGTCGGAATCTGGCCCTGAACAATTGTGTCCAAATAGAAATAAAACAGCTGTGCTCCTACATGCCCGGGTCTCCAGATTCACTTAATCACTCCGAAATCCAATCTCATTATTATTGATCTGTCCAACTTTCTGATAATTTATCTCAGAAACCAGGAGTATGCAAACGTGGGTGTCTTTAAAGGAACGATCTCAAAACTCCCAGTGCCGCTCTCCTGCTTTGCCTTTGCAAACCTTGGTAACTCTCCTTTGAATTTCAGGTCGTATCGTGGCTCTGGCAAGCAGCGATGGATCCGTTGAGGTTCTGCGACTTGGGTTTGGGCAGCTCTCCAGCCTGCAGGGCCACGGCGGCGAAGCGCACGGCGTTCTCTTCGCCCACAAGGCAGAGCAGCTGCTCTCCGGGGGTGCCGACGGTACGGTTTGTCTCCGGACCCGAGGACCAGCACGCTGCTTAACCTAACCTTCACGTCAAGGCGTTACGGGAAAAAATGGTTGGAGAACGTAGCAGCGAGGGCTCAGTGAAGTGATTTCACGGTTAATGTTTGCAGTGGGAATAATCGCCCGAAAGGAGTAGTATTCTGAATTTTATCCAAATAAAACCCCCAATTTCTCCCTCTTTCTGTTGACACCGTGTTTTTCCGAACATCAAGAATCTCTCTTTTGGTGGTTTCTGGAGAAATAGCTTTACAATGACGCCTAATGACAGAGCAGACGAATTGCAAGGAGAGCGATTTTTAATGTAACACAACACGAGACACGAGAGCTGGGCGCCCCTTCCCCGGTGCCAGCCTGTGGGAAGATGTGAAGTTTTAATAATGCAGCAGGGGGGGATTTTTCCCTGCAGCAAACGCTCCGGACGCCGCCGGGAGAGCGGGCATGAGCAGGAGTTTGGGAGAGCGGCGGTGAGGGCAGCCGGC